TATAATTTTAATACCATGAAAATTACGGCAACAAAGGTAATATGAGGCTATAAATAATTTAGAGTTCTTATCAGTCAGATTTTTTAAATATATAAATATGACAGAGGAAATTCGGACTGTAATAATTATCAAGTTTATGGCCAGAACTCTAATCGTTTCTTTATATGAAGCAACACTGTTCCATTACTATAATATTTCATTATTTATAGAGTTTTGTTGCTTGTAATATTTTGTGAGTGAAGAAAAAATTGGTCATATGGTGAAAAATCGAGGTTTTTCCCGAGAAATACTCAGGGGCTACTAGCATGAAAAGTAGTAGGTCATTGACCTAGTTATTTGAAATTGAAATTTAACACAAGAATTATAGGTGTATGATGTGCAATAGGTGGTTTTTTGTTCTTATCAATGGAATTTTTAGTCATCTGAGTAAAGGTATACCTTAAGATTGAGTTTGCCATGTTACTTGAACTTTTATTTTAGTAATCTACGGCGTGTTCATTTCACTGTATAATATAATATATATAAAGATCTTATTTTTTCTTTCTACTTGATAGTAATTATATACTAGGATTTTAATCATAAAATAATATTTATTTAATAATGAAAAAATAATTCTATCCACCTATGGCATTTGCTCAAAAAATATCTAAAACAATTACATCTACTGAAATTATTATTACTGCATTATTATTATAAAGGTTCAAATGTCACGTAATTCAGGAAAAAAAATTTATGACATCTTAAAAACTTCAATCAGGAAATAATGCAACTAACATTTAATATGATTACTAGTAGACAATAATGAATCAGCAATCTTCTTACAAATTTGTTTTTAAAAATATAAATAACTTAAGACATAATTTTTTTTAAAATTCAAAATTGCATTTAAAATAATTAAAGATAAGGTGATTATTTGTTTACCTGAGGACAGTAGGAACATAAGCAAGATCATCTTCTGCCGGTGTCCATTAGATGTCGGTCTGTATCAGGCTGCCTCAATAATCCAAGCTTTCCTGTAGGAGTTTATTGATCGAGTACTATTGCTTCAACTATTTCCCAGTGTTTTGTTGATTTTCATCACTTTTTGTAACAAAATTAACCTAACGTGTCATAATAGAATTATTCAAACTTAGGCCTATATGTTTCACTTAATCATATCGTTTGATTTATTTTATGTCTCACAAGAATGATTTTTGTTAATCGGTATTTATATATATTGACTCGATGATAGAAACCATACACTTGCAAAGAAATATCAAATGTAAAAATGTGTATATATTTTACATGTAAACGTATGAAGCAAATACTCGCTTAAAAATTTAATTATGAGCAATTGGCTTAGAAGTCAAAGCAACTGAATACGGCGGGGTATCTATTCAAATAATCATAATACCAAATTTTCTATAAGGTAATTGCTTCTATAAGGTAAATTGTAGGCGAAAATTTGTTTAATACATTTATAACATTTTTACATTCAAATTTTCTCTTTTACCGAAATGTATAGATTCTGTATCTTCTTCATGATTCTAATTAAAATGTTATTTTAATATAAGAACGCATGATAGATGCAATACTAGTATCTAAATGTATCTATATGATAGTTTATCGTATGTATATGCATACCATAGGAGGATCAGAATAAAGATCAATATAGAAATGTTTTTAAAAAATGTGTGTATCTTTTACGTTTTTCTTACACTTTTATTAAAATCATTTGACGAGTAATAGGCATCCAGTTCATTGATATTTTAAACAAATTTTGTATGGTTGGAAATCGGTTTAATCAGTTAATATATTTTCTCGAAGGTATGTTACGTGTGGTATATATAGTACATTTTTAGATCTATTAGAAATAGCATTTGATATGGAAAATAAAAGATTATAAAACATGATGGTACTGTTTTTATCATTGGAAACAAAAACAGATCACACACACTTTATAAATAACATTTATGACATTCGGATATGATCGAACATTACAAAGACATATTTCCTTTCATCGACCCATTTTTTTAAACGTTAATTTTCAAATAAAGTAACTATTGCAATTTAATGAACTTAAATCTGAAATTTATTGGCGGGATAAATGTATGGAACAGTACACATTTACTGTGTGATTTCAGGTGATTAAAAAAAATTCTTGGTCGTGTGGTTTTTAAATAATTTTACAAGACGAGATGATAATACTATAGGTTTCTCTGTACTCTGTATAAGCTGTCAACGATAAGTAGAAATCTGAAGGATATTCATTTATAGATAATTAAACAATACTGTGGCATTTTTAATTTTTGTGGGAGTAACTTTCGTTGATTTGTTGTATGAAGTGCCAACCCAATTTTTATATCCGAGGAAATATTTAAACAAAATTACTACGGTATGAGTAAAGATATGGAGAAAACGAACAGTATTCAAGCCCAAAAGTCCTTTAAAGAATACAAATTTTGGAGCAGAGCAATCAAGTGTGATCAGGTGCCATGGAGGAGTGAAAATCCCATGCCTATCGGTCACACCCTCCGTTTGCTCCTTGTCAATATCGGAAAGTAACGGAAACAATCCGTCGAAAATTCTATGTGTTAATTAATATTTAATGGCCTAACAATTAACACGAAAATCTTCAGTCAGCATTTGACTCAATTATAAATTGTATTTGCTGACAAGGTCGCTGTATCGATCATAAAAGAGAAAGCTGATATCTTTGTTTCAGCAACTTGTTTGCCAATAACTTACTTCGTTTTAAATGTTGTTCATTCATGGAGCATGTCCTTGCATATCGAATCAATTGAGAGATACAAGTTCACTCCGTATGCAGATGATGAAGATGCATTCGTGCGTAAGTAAGAGAGGATGACGATTGACGATTGAAAAGTCATCATTTCGCTTTGGTGATTTTTGAGGAAAATGTGATCTTTTTGCATTTTAATGGTTTTCCATACTTTTTCGCAAAAGCTTATAAATATTTAGTTAGGATTTTGATAAATTACGGATCAAGTTTTCAATTTGGTTCCGTTTCAATAATTTTGTAGGGTAATACAGCATTTGTTTAAAAAAAATAATGAGAAATATTATCAATGAGATGTAACAAAAAATTTTTTTAAGACTTATTTTATCTCAAAATTATTGAAACTCCTCATTAATGCATTGTTTGGTACATTTGTGCACATTCACAAAGTAACCTTTTACCCAAATGCTTAAAAACAGTAAAAATTTGAGAGCCTTTAAGTAGAACACTTAAAGCCGCTTAACCCGAAACAGGCACATATTATCTTACACAATAAAAGTACGTCATTACATAGATAATATATAAAAATAAATTATAAGATTGACTTAAAAGTTTATTACAACAATCCTTACATGGAAAACGCAGATCAAAAACCTTATTGACAAACAGGAGTTCCTGACGGAAGTTAAGATCTGTTGTGAAGTAAATTTTGAAAAAAATAAGTTAATCGGATATATCTAATAATGAAGATAATTCAAACCCGAGTATTTTTTTTCTCTATTATTAGAAGCCTTAGTCATAATACATCTTTTCAAAATTAAGAAATTAATTGAATATAATCCATAGTAATTTTTATATTAATATGCACATTTAAAGAATAAAGGAAAATCAGATGTTTGAAATGATTTTTTAAAGGAGCTAAAATATTTTCCGTGTACAGGTAATAAATGTTTTTTGTTGTGAAAAAAATGCTCGAGTGTGTTCTTCATGAGATAAACATGTAAGGGATAAATTAAATTTTTCGAAGGTGATTTCACGCTATATCAACAATGATCAACATAGGATTATTTTTTGTGTGACCTAACAAAAATTATTTTTTTAACTTTTGAATTTTGATATCTTTTAAAAGAAAAGGACTTTGGGGATATAATTTGACAAAGGTTGAAACAATTTATGGACAATTATTTTTCAAGAAGAAAATCGAATATATATTTTTAGCGATTAGAATCGTACCAAGCGGCTTTAATGAAACAGACCATGCATCTTTGTTTATAAGATATTTATAAATTTTGTTTTGGTATCCAGTATAAGTATGGAAATTCAAATCATTTTTTTTTTTTTTTTAATACATAAGCCTGACATATGATTTTGAAAAAAATTCTTATAAAAATTTCTCTTAAAAGGCGGACCATGGGTTTAGTAAGTTGGATAACTACTTGCAGAATCCAATACTACTTCCTCCAAACCAAAATCTAAATAAGGTACCTTACAAAACAATCTTTCCTGCTTTGTCAGCAGGGACCATTACCTTACGACCATGTAAGCTATTTTTTACAATGTATGATGAACAATAAAAAAATGTTTTGACTTTTTGTATGAAGATGATGAAAACCAGCTTTTTTATTGCTTAAAGAATTTTCAAAACATTATTTGTATGAAAAATACTAGTATCAGTCAAAATTCGATTCATAATAAATTATATTTGGTTACAAGGCCTTTGTATTAACCAAAGAATATTTTCAACGTTTACTTTAAACGAACTATTGATATCCGTGTATCATCAACTAATTCATCAGTCGCTTGCTTCATTTCAGAAATTGTTAGAACGGAGAGCATTTTCTTGTGTATCGAATCAACTAAACTTTATATAATTGTATTGTTGCAACAAAAATAAGGGAACTTAATTAAGAACAGTTGAATTCATCAACATTCTCATATTTGTTATCAGTTTGCCCTTAATGTAACTTTATCATTACGTGCAAAACTTTAATTATAGCATAATTTTCTCAGATTTCAAAAATTAACAAACAAAATCAAAGTTTTCAATCCCATTAAAATAACTGCATATATTGACATACTTTTATAATTTTGGAGAATCATGTTTAACTTAGTAAATCAAGTATATTTGTTATCTGATATAACTAATATGAAAATGAAGCTTTTCTCCGTTTGAAACTTATGTCCAATAATTGGAAGATATAGAAAAATACAAAGTATAAGTCGTGCAAAGGGAACAATATAATAGTGCGTGAAAGTAATAATTATACAGTAAATATACTGTCTAAGGTATTTCTTGATCATCTGCCAATTTATCGTAAGGTTCCAATGGAGCATCAGTATCCGCCAAGTCAGTTTGTTGTAGAGTGATAAAAGAATTGACACCTCGGATACCTTGCCACTTCTGAATTTCCTCAATTGTGGAAATGCTCACTTTTTTCACCATTTCCTTCCCTAATTTATTTCTACAGGAATACAGTTTATCCAAGAATCTATACTGCTTTTCCATATGATACTCCGGATAAGATATTGATTTTAAAATAGCATCATCGAAAACCTGATCGACTATCGAGTTAAGATTGGAATAAGGCAAATTCATTTCCCCTTCATACAAGTAAAACATCATAAACATTCTTGACATCCGTATTTTCCTATATAACGTTTTATAGTTCAACTTCTTGTGTCTAATTAAGGAAAATATTTAAATACATTTTATACTTGTATCTAAATGTAAAGATTTGTTTAGATTCAAACAATTAAATTCTTTTAAGAAATTGTTTAGAATTACAATGTGACAGGAATGCCTAAATTGAAATTCTTTTGGATTTTCTTCCATATGTTGAATGCCAGCAAGATTTTTGTCGAATAAAATTCTTTCTGTGTTATTTTATCATGAATATGCGATCCATTCATGGCAGTTTGTAAATCAATCACCGATTTACGTCCAATTGTTTTGACAAATTTTCGAAGAAATTCAAAGAATTCAGTCTCCATCTTTGGCGCACAAAATGCTAGCCCGTGAAAATTCCTCTCGTTCAAAATCCTATATCTGCACTTTGTTTTGATAGAACCTTTTGGAAAAATAAACGGTTAAAAGTCCAACATTGTTTTAAGGAAAAGTGTGGTTAAAAATGATAGGATTTTGTATGTCCATGGTATATTTCTCCGCAGAAAATGATTGTAAAAAAGCGTCAAATGGCCAGATGTTATTCCATTTGTGTTTTCACAGTCCACTACAATGTCACCAAACAACCTCTCAATTTCTTTCGAAATAACATGCAAACCCTTTGCTGCCAAGAGATGTGTAAAACTTAATTCACTAGTATGTGAACAAATTTGATTCGGTTTCATTTTCATTAACATGTCTGTCTCTTTTGTAAGAATATATGAAATTAAGTCATAATCAATTGATACCTTACTTATTTCGAAACGTTTCACGGAAGTCTTTCTAAAATCATAATACGTGAATAAAAATTATTTTGTCATGTTTTCTTCCCTAAAACATGGTGTTTATTCTACCTAGAGTTCCAAACTGTTTTTTCTGTCACGTGTCTCAGTTGTGAGTGACATTCCTAGGTTTCTGAGAATGATAAATGCAATAACATTCCCTCCCATTATAGACCTGTGAAGTTATATCCCTTTTTATCAAAGCACGAATCTAGGGACTCGGGATCAATTTGAAACATCAAAGAAAAGTTAAAGAAAAATGATATCGAGAATATTCTGTTTTCATCTTGAACAATTTCGTGCAAAACTGAGTTTTGAGTGTATTGAAATCTAATTTTTCTCAAAAAAGGGAATATTCACGGACTGACGATTTGGTGCCGCAAGAGATCCTTCATAGATTCTATTCCTTTACTGTGTGTATATTCATTGAAATCGAATGGAAAGTTAAAGTAGAGAATACCCAATGAATTAGCATTATTCTTCTGTAGGCTATAATTTATATATTTCCCGATAGAACGTTGTACTAACTGTCGAGATTTTGGTATATTTTTCAATATCACATAGATGATATATTCATGAGGGATAAATATTATATCTTCACAATTGGAATCATCGGCAAGAAGATATTTATTGCAATGTTCAACAATTTTGATATTTTCCTGGTAAAGTATTGGCGTGTATTTAAAGGCCATCTCTATCATACTGTCACCGTTGACGTCCTGTATATCAAAAACCTTACTCCAAAATTTCGTAGGAAGCTTAAGTTTAAGGTAAAGACTCACAAAATTAACATTTCCGTTTGCGCATGCATAATGCAACGGGATTCGATTGTATACATCTTTAAAAAGTCCTTCGTCTTGTAAAAGATTTCTAAGGTTATTCATATGGTATACATTGGCTATCGATATAACAAGCTTGGTTGACTCATTGTAATATTTTACTCCACTAGCCAAGTAGTGGCTCACGTATTTGTTTCATTGTCAGGAGGGGGCTTTGGATACAGGGAAAGTAAATAATTCAGAACATCATACTGCTTACAAATGGCGGCCGAGTGTAGAGGAGTGGAACCATTAAATGCAATCATATCGAATGCAGCTCCAAGATTTTTCAATGAATCTATCATTTCGATATTTCCTTTACAACAAGCATAATGTAGTGGAGTAGCACCTCTGCTATCTCTATCAGTCCAATTCCACAAACTGTGGAGTATCCCCATGTTGAATATATCCTTATTCCAGTGGTATGCCAAAAAATGTGATGTGTTATGTTGTATTATATAAATATTACATGTAGTTGAGTATAACATTGAAAATTTTCACCCCAAGAAAACCATTGTCAACCGAGGCGCATATTATATTATACTGAATGTTTTATACAAAAACATATTACAGCGAACCGTGCGCGCATAAATTCCGCGCAGTCGCTATTTGTTGTAATACCACCCGTCGTCAAGCAATGTTGACTGTTGCTACGCAGGAGGGCGTGGCTTCATTATTCAGCGGGTAGTAGTGTTTTTTATCAAATGTTTCTCGACGAATCAGATTTAAGTAATTTACATGAAAGTATAATATTGGCACATATTATCCATGTATTGTTTTCTTTCACTTTTGTGAAGATCGAGTTTTTCTATTCTACTCCTTCGATATAAACATCTTGAAGACTTGGGTATGCCTTTTGAATAAATGAGCTTAAATAAATCAGGTCTGCTAAATTTCATTGCCGTGAACGCAGGTATCCTACCACCAGCTTCTCGGCATTGCAAAGTATTGAAAGGCTGGATTAACAAACGTTGTACAATTTTTTTTATATCCATTTTGGACAGCAATCTCTAAAGCTGTCTCATATCCAACTAATCGTCGATGGTCTTTAAAGATGTAGTTAACAGTACGTAGATCGTCTATATTATCAATAACTTGGAGTCGATGTCCGAATGTCCGTTCGCGGCAGCTAGATATAGTGAATTATTAAGACTGGCAGAAAATTTTGATTTATATCTTAATAAAAATTCATGTATATGACAATTTTCAACTGACAAATGAAAGGAATTTAACAAATTTTAACAGAAATTAATAGGAAATACATTCTCCATGAATACCCGTTCAGATACCCAGAGATATGATTTTTGATATTAATACTGAAAAAGTCCCCTATATCTTCAAATATTTGAAAAAGAAATCCTTTGGTGCTGTTTTAGATTTGAAATTTTAAACTTCTATATATTTATTGAACGTTATATTACTGTTTCATTGGTGTCATCAAAAATAAATGGCACAAAACCAACGTTGGATGGTTTCACAGCAAGAATTGAACGTCATAATACAGTTTAATTAATTGTGTTCAAAAATAAATGGCACAATACCAATGTTTGATGTTTTACAGCAATAATCCTCGAGCGTTAAACTTTAACTCCCAATAAAAACTTAAACGCAATCGGCCCCTTCGGTATATGTGTACCTATCATCAACGTAGAACTAGCCAGCATAGCGCCATCTGCTGGATCTCCGTTACCCCAGACCAAAATTCCTTCTTCATTTGCATCGCTTCATCAAACATGAGTTTCATTGGTTTCTGAAATTATGTAATCCCCTTAACCTTTGCAATCAAAAGAATAAAGGCAGTGAATAAATAACGTTCTTAAGCATAGATATCGAGATAACGAACAGTTTTCAATCTCAAAGTCCATAAAACAAAATAAAATAGGAGCAGAGCAAACACAGACCTACAAAACATCAGAGGTGGGATCAGGTGCCATTGAAGAGTGAGCATCCCCTGCTGACCGGTCGCACCCGCCATTTGCTCCTTGATATGATCAGGAAATAACGGGAAAAATCCGTCGTCAATTTAGTGTAAAAATAATGGACTAACAATTAGTATGATAAATTGTATTGCTGACAAGGTCATTGTACCGATCATAGAACTTACGAAATGATGACTTTAAATGAGACTGCTGATATTCTTGTTTCATCAACTTGCTTGTCAATAATTTACCTCGTTTCAGAAATTGTTCATACGAGTAGGCTCTTGCGTAACAAATCAACTGAGATATATAAACTCCGTATGCAGGTGATGAAGGTATATTGCTGCATAAGTAAGGGAAGTTGACGATAGAAAATTTAAAGTCATCACGTGTATTATATAGCTTGGTTGTTATATTACCATTAACGTCTTTTACAAGTAAAATAGCCAAGTATGAAACAGATTTGTCAGACTCTGTGGTATCTTTTATCTCATGCTCACCAGCATATATCGTATCGACGTAGGAATGGAAATTACCACTCCTAATTGACAATATATTTAAATGTCGAGTTGAAGGCCATATCAAGTATTTTCTTCTTTTCACGCATTAGACTTTGCACAAATTCTGCTTCATATGAATATGAAAATAGGTCTGCTAATAACGGAGCGTAATTACTACCCATGGGAATTCCAATAGATTGTTGGAATACTTGGTCTCCAAAAACCACAAAGATATTGTCAATCAGAAACTCAAGCATCTCTTCGATGTCAACTTCAGAGTACTTGTGTGTGCAATAAGAATAATTTTGCAAATGACCAATGACCAGGTAAGTAAATTTACGAGCTCCATTTTTTTTGAAAAAGCAGCTGTCAATGATATTAAAAAGCTTAACATTCACTCACATTTTTAGTTGGTCTACATCCTGTATTGTTCCTTCCAAACTTTTCAATTACGTGATCAAACAAATCTAACAGTACTTATTAAACAAAGTTTTCTATAAGGTTTCCTGCTCTTCTTCTTCGTTTACCTACAGCCCAACACAATATACATGTAGTAAACTTTTTTAATACTAGTATCTAATGCTAATTTGTTAAACATTCAGTGTTGTTAAACATACGCAACAGCATGATCTTAAAGCTTTAAATACCTTTTTTCTAAGTAAAATACATAAATATGCAATAAAAGTTTCAGGTATAACTGTCTTTTATTTCAAGTTCATTGGGATATATAAGGGCAACGCGATTGAGTATGACAACTATGAATTGAGGAACATTGTCAAATTCTCTTAAGGTCAAGATCTAGTAAATGTCATTAGATTAACTTTTTGGTGCTAGATCTATTATGATGGCATAATCACTTCCAACTTACTTTTTCCCGTACTTTATGGCTTCAATAGAGTTATGAAGAAAATAAGGTATTTTCATTGAATTCAATTTGAAGTCACATAAAATGTAGTCCCAATACCTACATCAAATTTGACATTATTTTAAAGAAGAGGCCAAGAACATACAAATTACTTTTTCTGAAAGACTGTAGACAATCTGGATATAAAAGTTCTTTGTCTGATAAGGAAAAAAACTCCCATTTTCGTGACTGATTTTCTTCATTTTTCATTGGAAATGACGATTAAAATATTATTTTACATCTTGTGTACCAACAAATAATGCCTCGAAACACCTTATTTGAAAAAGCTAAAGTGATATAGCATCATTAAAATAATGTATTTCTCAGATTTGATAAATCTGTAGGCATCTTTCATTTACTAGATCTTGACCTTAAGATTGAATTTAAGGGCAGAGTAAGAGGGGTTTTTTCAAGGAAAAGTTCAAGATTTTTCATTCTTAGTCGTAAGAATAAAAAAACAAGCCTGTATATAAAGGACCAATTTTAGTCGCCGAATTCCAGAGACTAGAGAAGCTTTATAATTGAGGAACTACAGCATCATTTGATATCAACTTGAATGTGATCGCTTGTAAAGTACATCCATATTTAAAAAGAAATTTATATAATCTGTAAACGTATACATAATCTTTATCGTAAAATATAAAATTGGAAAAAAAAACTGCAACTTCATAAAACATTTATTTCAACAAAGTAAGGTTAAAAATTCGTGTGTGATATCATCAAATATGATATTGGTGTGAATATTTCTATATATCAGACACTAAAGGATACGAAACATGGTACCTTCAATTTATTTTACATCCAATTAATACATGAAGGTTGGTGACTATAGAGTTAGTAGTAACATCTAAACTTCAGCAGGTTCCAAGAACAATGGTGATTAAGTGAACAGTAAAACACAATAGTTGAAAGTATTTACAAAAACACAACACATCGAATAGTTAGCGGATTTTAGCGGGTCTAAGATTTGGCGTTTAATTGCACAATGTTTAGCGAAACTTATTCAACCAAAATTTTTTTTTTTGAACTTTTCAAAAAAACTAATTAATTATCCAAATTACTTGATTGTTTACTGAAATATGCTTGAAATAAACAAATCGGATATATATACTAATGATTTATTGGGTTTTTTTCAAACTCGTTTATAGTTAAAAGTTTCACTCTAACAGAAAAATTAAGCAAACAAAATCAAATAAAAATGAACATAACGTTCTTGTGGCAAAAATGATTCACTTCCACTGTTTAATATACTTCCATATAGTCATCTATTGCATCATACGTTTTTAATGGAGCATCTGCATCTTTTAAGTCATTTTTTGGTCGTAAAAAGAGGTCGCCCTCATAAAAACCTTGCCATTTCTGAATTTCCTTAATCTTAGATAGGGTTATCGTTTTTATCATTTCTTTTGCTAGTTTATTTCTACAGGTTTTCATTTTCTCCAATGACCTATATCGTTTTTCCATGTGGTACTCCGGATGATGCATAGAATACATTACAACCGTATCAAAGTATGGACTAATCAAGGAATCACGGTATTTTGAATAAGGAAAATTCAAATCTTTCTCATACAAATGAAAAATCGAAAACATCCTTGACATCCGTGCGATCTCATATATTGACTTATAATTTTTTTTCGTTTTCCCAGCGAAAGAAATCATGCAGAGACATTTAAGACTTGTGTCACGATCAAATACCTTACTTACATTTAGACAACTGAATGCTGTTAAGGATCTATTTAAACCTCTAATAGGACAGAAATACCTTCCTTGAAATTCGCGGGGATTTTTTTCCATAGAAAGAGCTGCTTTTAAATTTCGACCAAAATTTGCTGAAAAAAATTCCTTATGTTTCTTTTTATCATGAACATAAGATCCATCCATCGCGTTTTGTAAATCATTCACTGATTTACGTCCCTCTTTTTTTACAAGTTGCCGAAAGAACAATAAGAATTCAGTCTCCATCTGTGTTGCACAAGATAAAATGCCATGAAAATTTCTATTATTCCTTATTCTGTATCGGCACTTTCTTTCAATGGAATCTTTGGGAGAGAAAAACGGTCTGAAGTCCAATAAAGTCTTCAGAAAAAGTGTCATAAAATTAGTCTTGTTTTTCAACGGTGTGATTGATCGCCATGGGAGGTGATTGTAAAAAAGCATGAATTCAGTTGATTGAAATCCATGACTGTTTACACATAAAGCTATACTGGAACCAAAGAGCCTCTCAACTTCTTTTAAGATTGGGTACAAAGCTTTTGCTGCCACGACATGTACAAAACTTATTTCATTTCTATGTGAACACACATCATAAGGTTTCATATTCATCAATATGTCTGTTTCCCTTGTAATAGATAAAGCTATAAAATCATATACATATAAATTCAAATTATTTACTAAACGTTCTTTTTTAGAATTACCAGAATCATAAATAGTAATGACTAGTTCCCTTCTTTTGAACTCTTCTTTGAAACATGGGGAATTTTCTACTAAGACTTCCAAACTGTTTTTTCCGTCACGTGTCTCAGTTGTTAGTGACATTCCTAGGTTTCTGAGAATGGTAAATGCCACAAAATTCCCTCCCATGATAGACCTGTGGAGTAAGTTATATCCTTTTTCATCGAAGCACAAATCTAGAGAATCGGGAACAATTTGAAACATCTGTGTAAAGTTAAAGAAATATGTTATCCAGAATATTCTGTTTTCATCTTGAACAATTTCGTGCAAAACTGAATTTTGTGAGCACCGATATCTCATTTGTTTTAGAAAAGCGAAAATCATCGGATTTATATGGTGGTGAGTCAGAAGATGCTTCATAGATTCTATACCTTCTCTGTAAGTATATTCGCTGAATTCGAATGGGAAGTTAAAGTAGAGAATACCTAATAAATTAGCATTATTCTTCTGTAAGCTATAATTTACATATTTCCCTATAGAACGTTTTACTAACTGTCGAGATTTTGGCATGTTTTTCAATATAACATAGATCATATATTCATGAGGGATAAATATTTCAAGACGGTAATCTTCACAATTAGAATCATCTGTAAGAAGATAGATATTGCAATTTTCAACAGTTTTGATATTTTCCTGGTAAAGTATTGGTGTGTGTTTAAAGGCCATCTCTATTATATTGTCACCATTGACGTCCAGTATATCAAAAACCTTACTCCAAAAGTTTGTAGGAAGTTTAAGTTTGATGTAAAGACTCACAAAATTTACATTTCCATTTGCGCATGCATAATGCAATGGGATCCGATTGAAAACGTCTTTAAACAGTCCTTCGTCTTGTAGAAGATTTCTAAGGGTACTCAAATGGTATATATTAGATATCGTTATGACAAGTTTGGTTGACTCATTGTAGTGTTTTCCTCCACTGGCTAAGTAGTGGCAAACGTATTTATTTTCATTGTCAGGAGGGGGCTTTGGATACAGGGAAAATAAATAATTAAGAACATCATACTGGTTACAAATGGCGGCCGAGTGTAGAGGAGTGGAACCATTAAATGCAATCATATCGAATGCAGCTCCAAGATTTTTCAATGAATCTATCATTTCGATATTTCCTTTACAACAAGCATAATGTAGTGGTGTAGCACCCCTGCTATCTCTATCAGTCCAATTCCACAAGCTATGGAGTAGTCCAATATTAAATATCTCCTTATTCCAGTGGTATGCCAAAAAATGTGATGGTGTTATGTTGTATGGACACAGATTATCTATGTATTGTTTTCTTTCACTTTTGTGAAGGTCGAGTTTTTCTATTCTATTCCTTCGATATAAACATCTTGAAGACTTAGATATGCCTTTTGAATAAACGAGCTCAAATAAATCGGGTCTATGAAACTTGATTGCCGTAAAGGTAGGTGTCCTACCACCAGCTTCTCGGCAGTTGAAAGTATTGAAAGGCTGGTTAATCAAACGTTGCACAATTTCTTTATATCCATTTTGGACAGCAATCTCTAAAGCTGTCTCACATCGAACTAATCGTCGATCATCTTTAAAGATGTAGTTAACAGTGCGTAGATCGTCTATATTATCAATGACTTGGAGTCGAGTTTGGTGATATAATGTCCAGTACTGTGAGGAGTTACAAGGAAGACATGAGTCTATAGCACCGTGATATAAAAGTAAATCAACAATGTCCGAATGCCCATTTGCGGCAGCTAGATATAGTGAATGGTTAAGACTGGCAGAAAATTTTGATTTATATCTCAATAAAAATTCTCGGACGACATGTATATGACCATTTTCAACTGCCAAATGAAAGGAATTTGAACCAAAAGCTGTTTGATGCATAAGATCTGCACCAGATGTCAGAAGAGTTTGGACTGTCTTGAGATGTCCATTTTGTGAGGCAATATTTAGAAGACTATATTCCCAAAATGCTAAAGTTTTACAAAATTCCAACATGTCGACAGACTCATTTATGAATCTTGGGCCCAATCGGACAAAATTCACATTTGCGTTGCGTTCAAGAAGTGCTTTTAAAGTTTGGTGATTCCCATAAGCAGCAGCAACATACGATGCTGTCACATTACCACTATCTATTTCATCCACATTTCGAGATGCAATTAAATCCAAAAGGAGGGTCATCACAGAATACGAGTTAAATTTGACAGCAGCCTCGTGGAGAATGTGTTTATGACGAGCAAATTTCTTGACATACTTCTTGCCTTGCTCTAAGAACTTTAACTTCATATTTTGATCTTCAGAGCAAGAGACATATTCCACCAAGTATAAAATGCTTACTTTGGAAAAAGATTTTTGTCTATCAAGTATATTTAGATAGTATTTTGCAAACAAAGTGCATCCATCTTTTTTTAATATATAAAAGTCCTCCGTTCTCCTTTTGGTATCTGTTAAATATAACGCCAAACTTTTATGTACGAAAGATATTTTCCCTTCATACTGGCGTATGAAATGACTTAGTTCCTTTCCGAGTATCCTCATTACCTCAACAGTTTCTTCTTGGCCGATGCCTGCAACTTTTAATAACTCGTCTTCAGACATGGGCTCAACTGCGCAACATAAGACTTGAAAGATTTTTCTAACAGTCCTAAACATTCTTCTGTCTTGAAATATCCTATTGAGTTGATCGTTGAATAATATTTCAAACGTTGTAAAGCTACCTTGTAAAGAAATGTTTTCTTCTAACCAAGTGGGAAGAGCTTTACTTAGTAACAGCATGTTTCCTTTTGTATATTGTACAGCTCTTCTTATGGAATTCTGCAGATTTGAAGCTTTAAATACATCTGTAAAGTGATTTTGGTTGCTTAAAGACCATCCTTTAAGTTGCTCGTTTATATATTTTTCAGCATCTTTGGAGTTCTTGGGATCTAATGAACTCTTTTCGAAAACGTTCAACTGAGTTTTTGCTATTTGTATTTGAGATATATTCCTGGACGTAATAAGAAATTTAAAGCTTACAGGAAACTTCTGAAGGCGTCTCCATAGTATATAAAAAATATTACGGTTGCCATAGTCGAAACACTCATCTAAACCGTCAATGACGACAATGTATTGGTTTTCATCCTTATCTAAATCACCAATAGCATTTAAAGTTTTTAGAATTAAAAAGTCGAGACAACCCTCTGGGTCGTCAGTACATAAGTCTTGCTCAAAGTACTTATGAAAATTGGAACTCTGTTTTAAAACTTTAAAAAATCCTGGAACTCGTTTTGCAAAACCCCCTGCCAAGTTTTTCACGAAATTGCCAGGAGAAAGAGTCTTTCGAGAATCAAAGTTGCACAAATGGTACACAACAATACGCTCATAAATCCAATTTCCGGGTAGGCGTTTATCGCTCTGGCAGATCAGATGGGAAACTAGGGCGGATTTTCCGTAGCCCATTTCTGCAATGAATAGCACGCCTCTTCTTGAGAAGTGCATCGTTTCATCTAATTCATTCAAAAGCCATTCACGACCTATCAGCTTTTTATGTTGTGATCTGTAGAAGTCCATGTCAATCTCCAATGTAAATGGATATTCGTAAGTCGCATTTTTGCATTTTGCTTCATCTAAATACGAAGAAATCAGCACTGTTATCATATATAGACGAAAAGTAATCAACAAGGCCTAGTCTAGTTGTAAATTGTAAAATAATCTTGAAATTTATGTATATATTCATGCAACTCAATGAGAAAAATAAAATTGAATTTAATTTTTGTTGCCTTGTGTCGTTTGAAAAAAGTGTCAAAATGAACATTTTTCATGATTTTACACACAATGCTAAAACAATTGTTTTGACAAATTAAAACAATAAACAATGAAATGCATTGAGTTAATATATCATGCAGTATCAATTCTTTTCTTTAAAATTGTAAAGAAGATTGAGATAGCCTTGAATTGTAGTATTAAGTAATACAGGACATTAAATTTTATTTTGTATAATTATCAATAACTCGCTATATTAATGTTTATCAAAATATATACTTCTTTTATACCAATGAAAAAAGTTAATTAACACAAAGTGCCGTTTAATGTATGATAAAAAAATTCAAGCCCTGAATATCGAATGTCTAAAGCATTGTTTTTCATAGTGTTCATGTTCTTCTTCACCCTATAACTATAGCCCTGCTGGACACATTATTACAGGGGACGTAAATATACGAGGGCTGTTCAGTAAATAATGTCCTGAACTGTATGACGAACAATACAGATCTCATATGACATTAAACTTGACTTTCTCTCATTATTGAATCTTTAATGAATTTATAACAGTTTATGTGACCACTTTTCATCACATAGTTTCATTGTGAGAAGCTGGGAAACAAGGGCTATTCGAGACACTGCATTATAAATGATTGGTAAAGAATCAGTAAACAAGAGTGAAAATAAAAGCTTCATTAAAGCTGCGGTAAAACTTGTTAAAATTAAAAATCCCAAAGATATATTCACTGAAATATGTGACATTTACAGCAACCAATGCCTGTTTTATAGACAAATAAGCAGGTGGATTTCAATGATAAAAAATTATATAATGGACATAGAAAATTGGTACCCTCCTTGCCAACAAAAATTATAACAACTTATGTACTGTTTGCCAAATTTCAACAAATAATACTTGATGAAATATGATTGACTTTGAGACACAGAGCAAATTTGATAGAAATCATATCGGGAGTAATTTACACTGTTTTTATGAATCGTTTGATGGTAAAAAAGCTTGGTAGGTCACCCTATATTTTGAAAATGAGTAAAAACGACAGCGTGTGCGAATGTCTTAACAATTATTTTAAAATATCATCCACGTTTGCTTGATAATCAAAGAGATAATAGAAAGTGAATCTATTGCTTAAAACCCTCAAAACAAAATTTACCTGAAGATGTACTTGATAAAAACAACGAAGGTCTGACAAGAGCAAAGATATGCAAGAGCACAAAGACAGATGTATATGCAATTTTCTTAAATATTAGTGGAATTGTTGTTCAAATTCGTATTCGGGTAGACAGTTTAATTTCTGGAGGAGTCTAGAAAGCAATTTTTTTGCCAAAAAATCGAAAGGTTTATTAGAGGAAGGACCCAGAATCAGGAATCCACTACATTAAATTTCTTCATGACAGCGTCCAAATCCGCACGCCCCGAAGAGTAAAGGGGTTTTCGGGAAAAACAGAAAGTTAATGTTTTTTTACGTTAACAATATTCGCCAGATCTTTTACCTTTTGACTTGTTTGTATTTCCGAACTTGAAAAAAACCTTTCAGAAGGAAGAAACAATTCAAGTCCAGCAAATAATTGGATCTGCCATTTTCCAGTATACTAAGGGTCATACCCAAAAATGAGTTCTAAAAACAATCAAAGGCCTGAAGGCCCATAATGGCTTACGTGCTTGACATGTATGTAAAATGTAAGGAAATGTAGTATACTAGCTAGAATATTACTTAGTGTTTTCCCCAGAAATTTCTTAATGCAAAGGTGGGGGTCGCTGAATTGACGGCTTGAGGCGTTTCTTGGCAGTTGAGTTTATTTTATCTAAATTCATATTTAAATGAAAAATACAAAGTCACTAATAAATTCTTTTTTTTTTAAAGGTAAATAAAAGCTAAATATATATATTGAACAAATTGTCAATTTTTACTTAAAATTATTCAGCAAAAGAGTTTTTAATATAAAGAGACCTAATCACGAAAATTTGTTCTATTAAATTTTTCTATGTTTTATGTATTGTGCTATTTTTGCTATCTAGAAATAGGCCCCTAATGACCCTCCCTTTTTTTGTATCTACTCTTGCAGTCATCTTGAAACTTTTTGTTCTCATTATGTAGCACTGATGTAATGCTTACTGCATGTAGATATTGTCACTTGGGGCGCTTCTGAATATATAGGTCACTTTGTATTAGACGCACATGCGTTTGAACTAAGTACTTTCCCAGAGTTCATAAAGTAAATTTGTAAACATTGATTATGTAAATCACACGTTTCATTTTCAGTACATGCAAAAAAAAAGTCTTAAATATTATGTATTAAAATAATGAATTTTTTTTTAATGTCGGATCATCAATGTTATTTATAGAACGACCTGTGAATGTTGGAAAACCCCACATGTGCATTAACAATGATACTTAGTAATATACCAGTAATTAAATTGCAATGAACAAAAATTGACAGCTAGGCTATTGCATCATACCCCGTGCCGCGATTCGCATTGAGTTCACAACATTGAGTTGGCGGGAGATCGTGTTCGCGTTACCGCCATGTAAAAACGGCCTTAGGAAATCACTGCTTTTAGCAGCTGTTTCAACAGTTTGTAAGGTAAAATACATTTAATCTGTATTCCTACGAACTATCTGGCGCGATAACGTACTCCCGACAGAGTTCTCTTTCTTTCATTTAGATTGACTTACCTACACGGTGGCGCTGTTGACACATACGGGGTCAGAAGATATTCTTCCGCGTCCTCACAAGAGTTAATTCAATTTAGTTTTTTTTATTTGGTTTATCTTGTCTTCAGTAGCGAAAATTAAATGAAAATAACAAGGTTTTTGATTAAGAACTTGGTGAGTCATTTTCACAATAAAGGTAGAATAGAATTAAAGAAAAGAAGAGGACTATTTTATCTTGCTCATGTTTACTAGAATACATAGAACACTGCGACATTTAAGTCCGGACACGACAAAGTCCGGACTTTTAGGTACCCTTTCGAAAAGACCTACATAAGATTTTTTTCTATATTTTGGTGGGATTTTTTATTCTGACCTCATCATGTCAATCTCACCTTCCACATTGTAGTAGTTTTCTCATAAACCTCTGTCAAAACCTAAAATCCCATGGGAGAATGGCGGGATTTTTCATCCCACCAAAAATCCCACCAAAATCCCATGGGAGAAAAAGTACTGTGGGATAATTTCTCCCACATGGAAAAAAAAATCCCACGGTTGTTGCAAAAATGGGATTATTTTTCCCACAGGACAAAATATCCCACTAATTGATGTCAATATAGGATTTATCCTATATTTTTGGTATCTGATGGGAGAAATTATCCCACCAACCTATTAAATATATAACAAATCTGAAATAACCACAATAAGAAACCTTAAGCACCGTTAAGAGTGGTGTTTTATTTCTAGTGCCGAAGAATGTAACATGTAGTATTCTCAAAATATTTTTTTTTCATTATCATTTTTTGTTATTTACCCCCAATAAGGCATATTGTCTTGCTACTGATGATTTGTCTGTCTACCATCAGTTGCCATTCATTTTCTTTGCAGTGGTTGTACACATTGAAATGATATTTTACATGTATCTATCATATGAATATCTAGGTCTACGCAGGTTATCTATGTTACAATATATTTCTTTAACTTCTCTGAATGATTATGATTATAATGACAGCAGCTAATTTAACCATGTTAACATAATTAATTAACATGATTAATGAATCCAAGATATGAACTTCATAATTCTGACAGTACTTTTTACATGTCTTTCAATTAAAAATGTGTCAAAGTCACAGATTTGTACTTCTGTTATTGTGTTTGATACAGTCATATTTCATTATTTGTTCACATGTAACATGTACCTTTGTTCACATGTAACATGTAACATGCTCCTTCCTAACACTTCTTTCTGATAATAAAATGTATTTCTTTTTATTTACACCTGTTTAGTGTCTGTTGAAAGGTGAATTTACCCAAGGCTCATATACAGCTATACTATCTGTACCAGTTGATATAACTTTGACCATTTACTGATTTATATACTCACTTGCTAGTTGCTTCACTTTGTGTTGAGATGATAATGAACTAATTCAAGCATGTTAAACCAATAGCTCAAAGAAATGAATATGAATGAGACTAAATTGATTTAAATGTACGTGAATTAATCCTGAAAATTTAGTCTTTAAATCAATTATTGACTAAAATCTGATCAAATCACCAAATTCTTGCATCTCTGTTGCGACAATTCATCAAATGATGTATTATTTTACTACGATTGCCAAGCGCAGTTGAGATCTCAGATGATTTACAGTCAACTCGTACACAAACCAAGTCGTACTTAAGGTTTTAAAAAAAATGAGGAGTCAACTCCTCTACAAAGGTTTTTCTTTATGCCTCTGATTTTTCCTATACCATTATGCGCAGATTGTCTTTGATTTCCCGGTGTAATTAAATCTGAGGCATCAACTCCTACATATTTTAATATTGTAAAGGTAACATATTATATCATTTTAGACAACTAAATTTGATTAATAAACATCACTGCAACAAGATATACATGTATGTAAAATTTTACATTTTAACATTTAAGTCTTCTTTTTGTAAGTGCAAGTAATATATGTGGATATAAATGTAACTTGATATAATGCAGATAAGAAAGTTATCTTAAATATTTCAACAACATTTAAACAACAACAAAAATAATATTCCAAATTGGCTTAATATGATTGAGAAAAAAAAAAAGAAGAAAAAGAAATGGTCATTTAAATGCAGAAAATTTTTACCGGGTGGTATTTTTATTCCAGGAGAGGGAGAGGCTAATTTTGTACAGGTGTGATTGCCTTGGAGCTATAGCACTCTACCTGCAGGAATGGATACACAGTGAAATACCCTAAGGTGTCATTATAACTAATTATACCT